TGTCAACCTGTAGGAATCTGTCCAAATGTGTTTTTTTTTTTGATCAAAGCGTCTATTACAAGTTAATAGCCAATGTGTTTCGGGGGTCATACACGAGTCCCCGCTTCAGCAGACTACCAAACTTTACTGAGCGAGCATAGTTTATGAAGAATAAAAAACTAGCCATGTTCTTGTCTCCCACCTCGTTCCACCGCTGCTCCTGCACTTGTTGGACAGTTAAGCTCTGCTTGCTGGAAGCTTTTGGTTCTCATAGAAGCATTTGGCTGCAGGGGTCATAAGTGTGCGGCCCCCTGTCTCCTCTCCGGAGTCTCTTGATTTGCTTCTAGAGGAGGAAGGAGAGTCTGGCTTTCAATTCCCATAGAAGCATTTGGACAGAGGGCCGTAAGATGTCTCGTTGGATCACCTCCTTTCCATCGTGATGTGCAGGATCTTGTGGCTCAGGTGCTGGTCTGTGAGGCTGGTATGCAAGAAACAACTGGAAAGGATGGCCTTTCGTGGGGAACTGTTGCCATAAGGTCCAAGTATGCACAGCATGTTGATATATAAAAGCAGACTTTCCTGCCAAAGTGAATCCCCTCTAATGCTGCTCCCTCCCACCTTTGCCCCGATCTTCCGAGTTCTGATTCTTCGCCGCTTGATTGGCCAGGTCCAGATGAAATAACTCCTTCGCATGCGAGTTTCTTCATTTCAGCACAGGAAAAAAAAAATTGCAAATTTCTTCAAGACTCCTACTTTAAAGGTTGATTGCTTTTACATTTTCAGTGTCTTTTGATCTGATTGGGGATCAATAGCTGGGTGAAAGGGTTTTAAAGTGCTTAGAATTGCTAGATGTCTAGCCAGCATATAAGGGCTTGCTCACACCAGAGGCATTGCCATGAACATTTTGCTTCAACTATTGTGAACCACTTAAATAGCTTAAATGCATGAAAAAAAATTCATTCCTCCCTTTCTCCCTTTTTTGCTGTTTTAGGTCAAGTAATCAGGCTCCAACATAGCAAAGGCTAATTAGGCTCCAATATAGCAAAGGCTAAGTACTTCTGGGAAATAATTGATTAAGCAAATATGATAAACTGAAGGTAGGTTTGACTTGACTGGCCACTTTATTATGTCTGTTGATTTACACAAATTGCCAAACAGGTCAGTTATCAGGTATAGTACTATAGTGTGATTGTTGCTGCCAAAATGGGGTTGTTATGGAAACTTCTGAACACTTCTGAACTAACAGTTTGCTCAAAAGGGTGGCAAAAATCCAGTGATCAACAGTGCAAATACCTTGCTACTGAGGCAGGTCAGAGGAGGACAGTGGTATGCAAACTGATATCTGTGAATACATGGACTATGGACTACTGTAAATGAAGACTAGGCCATCTAAGAGCAGGAGTATACACTGCAGTGTATACTGAGTCACCAACTCAATGATGAAAATTTTCAGTCATCTGGTCTGACATGATTCGATTTCTGCTGCAACATGCAAATGATCGGGTCGAATTTTTGGCCTACCCAACATAAATCCATGGGTCCATTTGTTTTGCCTTATTGGTAAAGTCTGCTGTTTTCAGGTTATGGTAACTATTGAGCAACATGTATGGTGGCCAGGCTATGGACAGTCAAACATGTACAGCTCCATGCTGCGTGCACGGCCGTATTGGGCAGCTCCCAGGAAGGACGGGTGCTGAGGGTGATTAGTATGCAGCCCCCGTCCTTCTCTATGGGACTACGTGGCCGTACGTCCCCCTATGCTCACCTCAAATGCAGGTCCCTGCGGGTGTGTTTTTCCTGGCTCGGACGCAGACAGGATCCATCCTGTTGGCATACGAGTACGCTCACCCGCACGGACATGTAGGGCGGCGTACGGCCGCATGTTCCCATAGAAAAGGACAGGGGTTGCGTACTAATCACACGCAGCACCTGTCCTTCCGGGAAGCTGCCTGATATGGCCGTGCATGCAGCGCGGAGCTGTACGTGCCGGCCGATTACCGTGTGAATGGGGCCTAATAACGCTGTATTTTTGGGTTTAGCCAGAACTGGTTATGTGAGATTTGTTGCTCTACCAGCATTTTGAATGTTCTGCTTGTTTTAGTAGCATCAGAAGATGCAGTACATTTTTTTTAAACTTGGACTCCATTGTGTAGTGGTATACAGAGGTGTCCACACAGACCTGGTACCAACATGCAGGGCCACCTATAATGTCCAGACCCCTTTCTCCTATAAATATTGCCAGATATGTCCAAATGGTATCTGCAAGAAAGTTATTTTTTATATTTCATACCTCTGTCTTCTGCCTGAGTTGCTCCCAAGGTCTGTTTTTAAATCTAAACCCAAAGCATTGTAATGTCATAAAATTTTAAAGTTAATGGAGCCGATTTTTTAAAATATCTTCTTTCTCTCACCAAAACAAAAAATATATGCATCTAAGCACTCCCTCTGTTGACGTCTTATGTCTACTGCCCTGCAGAGAGCAGTGACAAGTAACTTTCAGAAGCACAGAGAAGCCTTTGATGTACAGACAGTGATTGACAGCCTGACTTAAAGGACTTCACCTCTAGGAATGAATTGGGATGCAGTGCAATGTGCAGTATGAAGATTGCTGGACTGGGGAGGAATGTATGCGTTAAGCCAGGTGGGTTGCACTCAGAAAGGTGGAGTGATATATTAAGTCTTTAGTAAAGGTGCAATAATAAGGGCAATCAATGGAGGGACAACTTTGCTTAGGGGACAGATTGGAATTTTTTGTTCACAGAATTTGACCTGATTAGCGCTTTTTTTTTTTTTAAACTGAGTAATTCGTATTTTGTATTTATTTATTTTTTGCTAAACCAGAATAGTTGACTAGAAATCTGCAAAGAAAAAAAACAAAACATTTCCAGTTGGTTAACTTGGAGATTCAGTAGAAAACTTTTGTTGGCCATTACAATCAACCAGTTTCCCATAGCAGCAATTAATTTTGTATCTGTAACTGAATCCTGAAATAAAGTATCAGTAATTTTTAGTTTATCAAATTTTACAATAAGTCTTTGCAAAATTTGCAGGTTATTAATGGCAACCTTAACCATATTGTTCATGGCAGTTCTGTTCTGGTTTATCGGCTGGCAGGAGAATGACACCAGACTAACAAATGGGAGGCTGCACCCCCAGCCATGTGTTGGAGGAAGTTATTTGAGAGCAGTTTCGTATTCTCAGGAGACAGTTCAGCTTCTGAGGGAAGCCTTGGACAAACCATATGCCCCCCTTCTACTTTCCTTGTATTTTATTCTCTTGCCTAAAAGGCAACCTGTAATCTGCTTTCTTGTTTCTGATAGCTGAGAATGATGCTGATTGTTTGAGTACTGGAAATCCTTTCACTTTGCCCAGTGTTTTTAAATTGGGGAAAGTCCACCTGGTTACTGGATGCGGGTCATTATCTGGGGCCCATTTTTTTGCAAACTCCATTTGGCTTGTGCTGCCAATGGTCTTTTGGCTTGTTTCCCACCTGCGGTATTACTGTAAAAGATTGAAAAATTAATCAGCATGTCATATTTTTTTTACAGTGAAAGTGCCTTAAGTAAAGTACATATTTGGCATTAGTTCAGTGTTTACCTGTAAGCAGAGCTACTCTCCTCCACTCCAGCAATGCAAGATCACTTAGCCAGCACAGATGTCCTCTTACTGGCATCTTCTGGGTTTGTTATCTTTGGCCATCTTGATTGGCCAAGCCGGGATGATGCATCTCTGCTTACATTCCGGCACCTAGGACATCGAGTTTGAGTTTGCAAGCAGAAAGAATCCTTTATTACAAAAAAGATCTAGTGTGCCTTTTGCAATAAAAAAAAAAACCTTTCTAATTGCAAATTTTTTTTTTAATCCGTTATGGACTTTGGAGGTTTTCATGAGTTTTGTTTTCTCCCGGCTGTTTAGTAAAAGTGATTGGGGGTGGCTGTAGAGCCACTTGATCACTTTTATGGTTTCCCAGGCTCTCCTGCTCCTCACTCCGCCTGGGAGCCCAGGAACACAAAAAAAAAACTTCAAAAATGGTGATCAGGAGGCCATTCAGGAATATCCCTTTCTTGATGTACTTAGAACAATGTGAACCTGGAAGCTCTCAGTACTTCTGGATTCAGAGCTGTCAAAAAACCTGGTTGCATAGAGTAATCAGCTTATCAAGCTCAATCTGTGCTTGATTGGCTGGAGCAGAGGGCAGGTTAGATATTAGGGGTCTAATGGGCCCCTTGGTGTCTCCATAACAAATACCTGTCTGCTGCCAAAAGCCATTACATAGAGGGCTCTTTTGCCCCCTTATGATGGCAATAAAGTGGAGTAAGAAAGGGTTAAAATATACAAAAAAATTACCTTAAATGTTTTTAAAGCGTGTGTGTGGTGCAAGTGTGAAAAATGAAGACATGCATATTTAATATAGCTGCACCTTCTGGCATGAGGGAAATCATTTTAGGTCCCTCATTTGTAGTTTACTCTAAACTGATGAGTTGCATTAAAATCTTTGCCTATATTTATAATTTGCAGTACCACCATTTTTTTTGCTCTTTTGTGGGTTGAGGTTTGACATTTTTGGTATTTACTTAATAGAAATTGCTCTTTTCCTGGTTTACCACCCTAAAACATCAGATGTGTTAGGACCACAGAACACACCCACATACCATAGGGGAAAGTGTGCTTTAGGGCTACAGAACACCATCCCCATGTCATAAACCACTGGCACACGGTAGTTTGTGGCCTACCTGGGGCAACAAAGTGCAGTCACAGACCTGTTAAACTAAGAAAATAAAACAAATGCATAATCGGAGGCTGCCTTCATAGAATGTATATTTAATTAGTAGATGCAGAGATTTTAGGCACTATATGCACATTTAGAAACCTATTATGCACATTTAGAAACCTATTATTTAATAAAAGTCTACACCTTTTAAGAAATCTAAATTTAGTTCCAAAATTCAAAGACCCGCAAAGTGTTAACATGCCAGAAGTTGCTTTCGTTCCTTAAATGTATTGTGTTTTTCTACCTCCAGGTTGTGATTAAAAATATTGAGCGAGAACTCCTATGTCCTTCCTGCAAAGAACTGTACACCCATCCCTTGATTTTACCATGCCAGCACAGTGTCTGTCACAAGTGTGTGAAGGAACTCCTCTTCCTGACTATGGAAGATTCCACCGATGTCAGTTCAGAAGCTTCAACACCAGGAAGTCCACGTGTTCGGATTCAGTCACCTAGTGTGGAAAGACTCGACCGACTTCTCAGATCAGGTTAGTGTAAGAGGTTTGTTATGACTATTTGTATATGACATATACAAATAAATGTATATGATAGTGCTCTGCTATTCTTCCCTGAGACTTTAGGTGCCCATACACCTTGCCATTATGGCACGATTTTAGTCTGCAATCACGTTTTCGTCTGATAATCGCACAGTTGATGGGAAGTGCACAAACACAATTACTGTAAAACTGTTCAACTTTCCTCTTTCAAGCAGGCTAGAAAACTTTTTTCGACTCAATGCGAAAATCGACGGATTAGTGGCGTTTTTGTACGAGAAAAAAATCGCAAGATGAACTGACCGAATTTTGTCAATCGACAAAACGGATTTTCGTTTGCGCATGTGCAGCACATGCGCAAACGAAAATCCGTTTTGTCGATTGACAAAATTTGGTCAGTTAGTATTGCTAACGAGCGATCATTGAAATCCAAATCGGTCTGTGCATGATGGGGCAGTTGTACGGAAATCGAACGATGGTTCAATTATCATACCAAAAAGATCGTGAGATGGTTGTAAGGTGTATGGGCACCTTAAGTGTATGGGAAGGGTTCTAAAGGAAAGCTGTCAACAAACCATCTACTCCCAGTTCAGAGCTGAAAATGAGAATCTGTTTGTTTGCTGGTAGGGTTGACATGTTTCCAATTTCCATTTGTTTCTCTTAAGGTATATTATTTTTTTTTATTTTTACATGCTCTGGTTTTGTCTTTCAAACAGAATATTTCTTACATATTTTCTTTAATCAATGTTGCATAACAGTATCTGCAGACCTTTTGAACTGATCTCTTAAGAGTTGAGAATGTTCACTCCAAAAAGATTCCCTTCAATTAAACAAATCACTTGAAAAGCACATTATTGGATACTTTCAAACTTCTGTTCCATATTTTTTTTTTTTTTTTAACCATTGTTAAAGTGACACGAAACACGGAAGTTAAATCTTAAAAATGCATTCAAGTACCTTAACTATTAACAAAGCTGGACCTTTGTGTATCCCTCACTGTCCTTCCTTCTGGAGGGTGGCTACTTTTGTTCCCTATGGTCCGTGTGTGTGTGTGTGTTGTAGTCATTACTCCAAGCTCACTCCAGTGATTGGACTACAATCTCACACTTCGTTTACCAATTTGTATTGAGATAATAGTCCATTAGTGGTGTAGCCAAAGCTATTTTATACACACAGGGACCATGGGGAACAAAGTAGCCACCCTCCAGAAGGAAGGACTGTGCCGGCACCAAATCGGAGATGATTTGAGGATCTACAGCTGCAGTGAGTGATGCACAAATACATTTTGTTAAGGGCTAAGGTGCTTGAATGCATTTTTAGGATTTATTCCTGAGTGTAGTGTCACTTTAAGTCCAGTGTATGGGCACCTTTTTTAGATTTTAATCTTTGCGTTATTTGGTGAAACAGTTAATGTTACTTATTGGGAGATGAGGCAGAGGTGTGGGATTGTTCACATCTTGGCAGTTTAGTGCTGTGGTGCCCAAATACCTTGCATGTAACTGGACCATTTTTATGGACACCTATATGTATACTTGAGCTGTCCTAGGATTCCTAATTCTGTCCATGGCCTCCACTGCAGAAGCAACACATATTGGTCGAAAAATTGCTACCAGCTTGCTGACTGGACAATAAATTAACCACTTGCCGACCGCCCGTTGTAAAAAAACGGAAGGACGACACTGCAGCATTGGTGGGCATTTTTTTTCTGCTCGCGCACGCCCCCTGGTGGGCGCGCACGGGCGGAAAAGACCCGACCAATGCAAAACACCAGTTACCGGGTGTTTCACATATAGATGATCGGCGGCTCTATAGCCCGCCGATCGTCTATGTGCCCGTTTTTTGCCGATTCACCTTCAATCCCGGGATCCGCTGCCCCATCTGCGGCCCGGGACCGGCTCGGGAGGGCGTCGAGAGGAAGGGAGACAGCTTCTTGCTGATCTCCCTCCAGGCTGTGAATGCAGAAGTGATGTGTGTTACATCACTTCCGCATTCACCTGTCAGTCATCTGGCTGCTATAGCCAGAGAGAAGAAGCTGATGAAGCAGATCTCTGCTTCATCAGCTTCTTTTGGGGTCCACAGCAATAAGTGCAAAAAAAAAATATAAATAAAAAAAATAAGTCGCATATAAAAAAGTAAAATAAAAGTCAGATATAAAAAAAAGTTAAACCCCCCCCCCCAAAATGTTAACTCCCCCACGTTTACGCAGATATAAACGTAAATACGCGTCCGGTGCACCAGCGCGCAAAAATGACAATTGCGCTACACACGTTACATATCGCCATCAATCACTGATGACACTAAACTGATAAGCTGTAAAAGCTTTTAAAGCGTCACCTATGGCCAATTTTGGGTATTATCGTTTTTTGAGGTTTCGCGCACGCAATTTTAAGGCTTGACATGTTTGGTGTCTTTTTAGCCGACGTGATGAATACTGAAAAATGGCCTGGATGGGAAGGGGGTTCAACGCCGCGGATGTCAACTGGTTAAAAACCGCAACACAATGGCGACCTTTTATTCTGCTCTATCCTCTTGTCAGGACATGTGCATTGAGGCAGAACCTAATTGGCTTCTAGGGCTGGCCCTTATTATCCTAATCCTGCTGTGCAGGCTTTTACAGGATGGTGAGATCAAGAAAGATTCAAGTACTTATGCTGGTTGAATTGAGGAATACATGTATTCATAAATGCATAACTTCATTTAGTCAGGTTTTTAAAAAAAAAAAAAGATTTTTCTGAAGTTTAGCTCTAAAATAATTGGGTAAATAAACGCATCTGTATATAGCTTCTATTTAGTTTTTCTATACTGGCATCACAAAGTATGTGTCGGTGCTTTATAGAAATGGTAAATGTTTTAGAACAGGTTTGAATTTTCTTTTTTAATATAAAAGTAAAGTATTACTTTAATAAAACTGTTGGCCGCCTTGTATCAAAACTTGAAGGTCAGAGTTTTAATTCTAGTCAAATAAATAAGTTTTTCTTAGCCCTTGGAGGCTGAAATATAAAGGTAACCATGTAGGTTGTTGCTTTGATCCACACCTCTCACTCTTTCACCTTTAATGCATGAAACACTTTAGATTTTAACTGTTAGCATGCTTATAGCGCTTGGCCTTCACATTGTAAGTAAAAGCTGTTTACCTTGTAAATATTAATCTTTTTTTGCAGCCACACATCGGAGCTCTTTTGTAATGAGAAGCAGAGGTGATTTATTCTCAATGTAGATGTTACAGGCTGTGTGCTTCAGTGTGTATTGGCTTTACTCCTTTTCCAAATTTCATTCTGTTGGAGAGGTAAACCTTTGTAATTTCTTATCGTAAGTGATCTACCTACCAGCGTAACATTTGATGGTAATGTCTTTTGGGGAGCTGGGTACACAGAGCCAAACTTCTGTTTGATAAGATAAAAGAAACTTTACCCATATCTTTGAAATGACAACGAACACCTTTTAGAAATATTAGTAATGGTAAACTGCAAACAGATACTAATAGATAATTTCCGGCTTTTTATTCTTTTTCTTTTTCCTCCCCAATCTTCTCTCAGTGGCCATTTTTACGCCATTTTTACAAAGGGCACATTAATTATATCTCCCTTTACTTCCTGGAACTCTGGCACATGTGACTAGGACTTGTGACCATGCACATCGTCTCAGGGGAAAAATAACTGCCTTTCCCTGATCTCTCGTGAGATTAGATCAGTTCCCAGCAATGCTCTGCTGATGTAATCTTCCAGGATACATCGCTTGGACACAGATTACATTACTAATGCTCATGAGGACCAGGAAGTGGAAAAACAGTAATTATAAGTAAATAACAAAATATGTCTTAAGCAGTGGCGTCGCTACAGGGGGGCCCCCCAGTATGTGCCCTCCCCCCGTCAGGACCGGACTGGCCATAGGTCATGGGAGGCCAAACACAATCAGCCTGATTGTGTTCAGCCCACACGGCCGCTATGCCCGATGCAGTGGCACCCTATTATCTATTTATAATCTATTTCTCTGATTAAATGATTACATACAGGGCTTCTGTTCTATCAAAGTTTGTGACTACGTTAGAATGTGTGACCGGTCGCGTTGTCACACATTTTAACATAATCCAGACCATTTTTTTTGGCGGTGGAATATCACTTCTATCCGACTTTGTGACTGATCTCACATTCCACTGCACTCGCAAAGTCTGATAGAAGTGACATTTCAGGACCAATCAGCTGTTCCAGGGCACATCAGGTCTTCTGAACATACGATTTGCGATGCCGTTCTGCCCTGGAACAACTGAGAAAGCGTTGGAATGCTTCACCTATTGGCGGTCACACATTCCACTGCCAAAAAACTGGGCGGGATTACATTAAAACATGTCACCGATGGTGCATTCTAACATAGTAACCTCCCTCTCATTTCAGGGAGGAGTCCTCTGCCTCACCCCGGTGGATTGGGGGGCGGGGAGCACCGCCCTGAAATGATGGCAGATAGCACAGGAAGCAATAGCTTCTTTGCTATCTGGAGGGTTTTTTCTATAGTATTCTGCTGCTGTCGATCACTAGAAGAGGACCTGATGGAAAACTTCAGGTCCCCCTCTGCTGTTAGCATCAGAGGGTGGGTGCAATAGCTAGTTGGCTATTGCTAAGTGAAATAGCCAATAAAAATCTAGCTATGCATTCCTATGCTTTTTTTTTTTTTCTGACCGGCAGCCGATGTCGGGGAAAAAAAAAAGAGCAGGGAAAGGTTTACTCTGCTAGATCGAGCAGAGTAAAACTTTCCGGGAGAAAATGTTTCTCTCCCGGGAGGTGCTATCTAATAGTGGGAGATTGCCAGAGCGTCTGGGAGAGTTGGCATGTCTGCCGTCAGGGGGGTACGGCCAGCACCCATGTGAGGGGTCTGGGCAGCCTGAGGGGCAGCATGGCAGAGATGACGGGAGGGGGTGGAGGGGAGGCCATGCCCCAGCAGCAGCAGCAGGTAAGAGTTGGGAGGAGGTACAGGGAAAGGGACCCTGACGACCAGTCCACCTGGGGCCCTGCAGAGCCCACCCACCTCTCTGCAGGGTCTCAGGTGAGTCCAGAGTCCAGCACGCTGCTGCAACATTAGAGACCGTTGAGAATGTGAGGTTTCATATCGGCATGCAAAGGTGCATGCTGATGTGAATTTTAATGAAAGGGGGTAAAGGTCCACTTTAACAATTTTGTTGCAATCATGTTTTATAGTAGTGTTAACTTTTTAGTGTGCTTCCATGCATAGTAAAGTGTACAAATTACAGCACACTAAAAACTAGGTGTCTGCTAAAAATGTGGCTTATGTGCATTTTGCAGTGAGCTAGTGAGAGACAACCAACAAGTATGCCTTTCACCATGTTGGAAATGTGCTGCAAAACCTTTTATCACATCACATTGCCACTAATGCCATTGCGCTGCTTTTGTTATAGTATTAGTACGTGCAGCAGTGGTGATACAGTAAAGTCTGGTTATCCTAATCTGCTTATCTCTTGGGGACCCCAGGGGCAAGCTCAACCTGCTATAGCTACTGAATATGTTCCTACCCACCTTTTTTAGGGGCGCCAAGGCATCCTGCTTCCTCCATACTGTAAAATTAAATTGCAACTCAACTAGGAGTAACATGCAAGGGCAAAGTTGGAAACTTGGGTTGGGTCTGCGCTGGCTGTTTCAATTTGCGGCTGGACCCCATTCACACCACCGCGTTACGGTGTGACCATTCAAAAAAAGTACACGGTGTGATCTTCTGGCGATCGGTGCACCAGCACTGCCAGGCACATGGACACCCGCTGCTGTGTGTTTAGCATGGAGGCTGGTGTTAATAGGCCCTTAAACGGAGACCAATGCAGTTCCCCAGAGACAAGGATATGGACAGCGCTCTAGTATTCACTTTGGGTATCTATACTGTTATGATAGATGACCTAATTTTAGCATTAAATTGGAGCTCAAGATTTGTGGGTTTTTTTTAAGGGTTGGATGTCCTGTCAGAGATTTATTTACCATGTGGGTCTTGGTAGGGGCAATTACCCCACACACTTACTAATCTGATGATACATGGTCACAAAGACCAGATGTTTTCGGACGAGTTGTACTTTAACCTGTTAATGAGCATGATGGTGAAGGCAGCCTTGAAGGACAATTCATGTACTGAAAGCCATGTATAGCGGTTTAGTGGTCACACAATCAAATGTGTTAGATATAGGGTATGTAAAATATTTGAATGAAAAGCTATTCTGTTGAAAGGATGTTAGCATTGACTGGCTGTCATTCCATTGACAAACATCCGCCTATATGCTTGAAAATTTCAATTGATTTTTTTCCCATTATAAAACACCATTTATTCTTCTGTGCGCTGCATTTTGCCATACATAATAGATCTGCATGATGGACTGACTCCATTTTAAGTGCATGCTGCTTCCCTATTAACAGTTTATCAATAAGTTCTATCCAATTATGGGTTATATGTTCCATTTTGGTAAGTTGTGTAATGTTGCCCTGAACATGCTAATGTAGACTACACATTCTCTGCTCCTAGAATGCCCTAATCCTATAAAGTAGATATAACTCTGCATGTGATCGTTTGACTTTGTTTATCGTAGACTTCCCCAATATTTGTCTCGTCTGTCCTTTTCAAGCAAAAATGTAATTTAATGAACTGGTATAAATTATGGAGGCTTTAAGCTGGCCATACACCTATAGATTTTCTAGGGTCAGATGGAAAAAGTGCAACAGATTTCTCCATCTATGCTAAACTGTGTGGATGGAGGAATTTCCCACCGGGCCAAGCTTCATTATTTTGCTAGTCGACCCCACTGGCTGTCAAATACCTGAACAATGCCTGCATCCAATCAGATTGATCACAAGCCCCCATGTTATAGCACCTTTTGAGATGACCTGTTTAATGTAAACACAGCAGGCAGTGGTTAGGAGTAATTGCTAGCCTGCTATTGACAGCCGGTCTCTCCTCCCTGCTAGATGCCGACTGCAGCGGTTTGTGTCTCCTCCAATCCCTGCAGCCTCTGCTGATGCAGGTGGGTAGAGCAGAGGGGATAAAAAGACTGCAGCAGGCTCCCAGCAGGGAGAACAGGAGAAGCAGTGGAAGGGCTGACAAAACCTTAGGTATCCAGATGCAATTTCTAATCGCCATGGCGACCTGGCGCCTGGTATTTGTAGACCTCGAGGATGTTCAGCTCTACAGTTATATTCCAGCTATCCTATCTTTCGTTCTAGATTTGTTAATATAAGTATGCACATTCAGAATAGATTACACCGAAGCATGCATGTTTTATTTAAAGGTGAACTATGAGGCGAGTGATTTTTCACTCAACCTCATAGTTCGGGACGATCGGCTCAATAGATCGGGAATACATACCTTTGCTCGCTCACTTCTCGTTCATCTCCCTGCAGAGAGCCGTTACTGTCGCTCTCAGCTCCCTGCAGGGATTCCCCTCTCGGATACTCCACTGCTGAGTGGCGGAACAGACAGGGCAGGGGGCGGGTACAGCTGGCTCTGCCTCTAGATAGGCAGAGCCAGCTGTCACTCATGCAGCTGGGTGGATCTCGACAATGTCAGGATCCGTCCCGGCTGCGGCGGTCTCAGCATACTGCGAGCAAAACTGCATCTGAAAGATCTCGACAGGTGGGGTTATTTTGGCTCCTTCCTGAGCAACATTTGTTCTTTTCATCCTTTTGTTTCAGTTTGTAAATAACTCTGCCATGTGTGTGCCAAACAATTAGTGTGCAGTTCAAAAGGGATCCATTGAGGATCTAATTGTTGAACATTTTTTTTTTTTTTTCACCTGTTAGTGAAAAATATATTTTCAGGTATTGACACATGCTACATATACTGTGATGCTTGGTAATTTCTCATTTTTTACCCTTCATTTAGTTTAATATTTATTGAGCATTTTAGGACATAGTGTCTGTGTATTCATTGTACCATAATTTCATGCCTTATGGAATGGCTTCCAACAGAATGAAAATATCCTGCTTTGATATAATGGATTGGTGTCTGTGTTTATGTGCATCACTTTGTTTGGCCTTTGCATGCATTTTCATTTTCCCCAACACCATTGGTTTCATGTTCAAATACCAGAAAGTGTGATAATATAAGGTGCAAGTTGCCGATATGTAAAAGAGGTTTCAGCAACACTGGTAAACTTACACTGTTATGTATATTTTTACCGGTAAAGCTGACTCAAGTTTAAATTAAAAAAAAAAAATCAGTGTTAATGAATTTTGTTAAAATAACGAGTATTGATTTGAAACGATTATCATGGATTTACTATAAAGGCCCATACATTATTTTATTTTTTTACAAATGGGTGCAGTTTACATGCATTCAGGCCACATTTAAATTTGTTTTACTGACCGTGTGCCAAAACTAACTTGGGTTAGAGTGACCCAAAACCTACTAAAAATTAATTTTTAGACCGCCATTCAGGAGTCTTTTTTCTGTACACCAGTGTTGTCCATTTAATGTGTGCAGAAGTTTGCACACCTAAAGATTTTTAATGATATCTCTTTTATGACTGGCAACCTATGTTTTATATTGAATCAATGTGTGCGAATGTGGCTGTGTAAAATGTTTGTTTTGTGTTTTTGTATTTCCCTGCTGTGCAGTTCATGCTGTGAACACACCAGACCTGCAGCATGTTGTATTTTTTGATGGGAGATATTGTCTAAAGACTGACTTTCTGCTGCTCCATGAATGACCTCAGGACAGTTCAAGAATAATGCTGTGGTACATAGAGGATCATTGTTAGGATTAGAAGAAATCCTGGGGCACCCTTGGGCATACCGAGGGAAGAAATTTAGCATTAACGTAGCACCGTTGTGTGTACAGTGGGGTGGCATGGTTGAATCCCAACTCCAGCGGAAGCTTGTTTCGAATGAAGATTGAAGAATTTGAAACCTGTCAGATTAATTTTTATTTGTTTGCTGTCTTCCTGTTTGGAAGATTTCGTCTTTCTGTTCAGGGCGGGGACATTTGTCTTAACTTGGACAAAAACTTGGACAAAAACACATTTCAATCAGAGAAAGTATGGGTTGAACTTCTGACAGTGTTTGTTCTCGTTACCCTCCTGTCCAGAGACAACTGCTCCTTCCATTTCTTGAATTAGAGACTGGAACTGAGGGAAAAGCTCACTATAGTAATTTTGTCTGAACCTAGGTCCAAAGTATACCCTAAATTTGCTCACTATATACACTGCACTCCCATGCTGAATTCAGGAACCTGTGAAGTATTGTTGCCACACCATCACAGGAAGCTGCATTAGATGGACTTCACTGGCAGACTCAACGAGTATTTGTGGGATTTTGTAGGACGTCTAAGAACTGTAATTGCAGATGCCCTTATGTACTGATAAAGGTGCTGCTGCACTTAATGGGAGTCCATGGTTCTACTTTAAACAAAAATACTAAAGAAAATAGTTGGTCTACTTGGAAACCAGCAAAAGCTGAGAAAGTGGACACTTCATTTAGGAGTAGAGAACATCCTGTAGCGTGTAAAAAAATGTATGTATTCTGCAGCACTGCTTAAGAGTGTGGGCGTCCAAACTATGCTGCAATGTACTGCCACTTACATTGCTGGTCATTGGTGCAAAAATGCTTCCTGACGTCGGTGGCCAGTGGTTGCTTACTTGATGTAGTGGATGAGAGGAAATGCTCAGTGTCTGAGTCAGCGCCATCACTGGCTCCATATTGGCACCAGAACCTTTCTGATGCCTTCAGCAGGAGAACAACCTGCTGGATGATGCCTGCAGCATGCTGGGTGTTGCTAGCACTGGTAATGAACCCAGGTGCTTATTTCAAACCATACCCCTACATTGCTAGTAGCCAGATTGGATAGCACTGTATTCTCAATGCTGGCTGTACTACCTGGTCACAGCAGGAGTCGTGGCAGTGATACCTGACATGTTAGGAATTAGTCTTCTTACTTGCCTGTTAGAAGCAGGTCTTGGTTGTATACTGGCATGATTTTAAAACTGGACATGTGATGTACGTTAATCTAAAAATGTAAGTAGAATTTTTTCTGCACAAGTGGATAGGATGGGGAACAGTTAGAACCTTAAAGAAAAAAATGTTTTGCTGCATTTGGACTTTAAACGTATTGCAAAAGTTCTGATAATTATTTAATAGACAAATTTGTATAAGAGTCCACTTTCTACTTTTTCCACTTTAAAAAGAATGGCACAAACTGTATCTTCTCCCAGTAATCTGTTCTTATGTCCTGTAGGTTCTAAACGCAATTCACTGACTCCCAAGATTACAACGCTGTCATGTCCTGGATGTTTACGTGATGTGGACCTCGGCGAGCGTGGGATCAATGGGCTTTTTAGGAACTTTACACTGGAGACTATTGTGGAACGTTATCGACAGGCGGCTCGGGCTGCCACTGCAATCATGTGCGACCTTTGTAAACCTCCAGTTCAAGAGTCCACTAAAAGCTGCCTGGATTGCAGCGCTAGCTATTGTAACGAGTGCTTTAAAATTCACCATCCCTGGGGAACTGTCAAAGCTCAGCATGAATATGTTGGACCTACAACAAACTTCCGACCAAAAGTGAGTGCCATGTGCCTTTTTAAAAAATACTTTTCTTTCACAAGTTATCAAAGGTGAAGACGTGTGTCTGTGTACACTAATGCTCCAGAAGAGACGGATCTGACAGCTTACTTATCCTCAATACCCATAAGCTGCCAGTCTTCAAGGAATGAATGTTACATTTTAACCTAATATAGGTTGATGATATTACCAGGCGGAGCATTATTAAAACTTGCATTAGTGGAGTACTGGAGAATTAAGCATTTCTTAAAATGTCCCCTAGTTTTTCTGGATTAAATTGGTTTTGTATTTCATGTGGTACGTAGACACCATTGACAATGGACCCTGGGGTCCTTGTAGACTGTGTGCATGTCGGAGATTATAGAGGTTCGGTGATTGCTCTACTTGGTCTCATAGCCCCATATTTCATTCAGAAATATGAAGCTATTTTTCTAGATGGTGTTCCCTATGGGAGAGGTGGATAAAATAATATGGATTTCGGGAGCAAGTCTGTCTAATACAGGAGCCAGCAGGATTTTTAACAAACTATAGAACCTTTCGAAATTAGACACAAGCAGTAATGTTTAAGGAGCATTACCTACCTGGCTCCTCAGGTTTGCCCTGCAAAAAAGTGATTTGAGGCTCTACAGCCGAGTGATACACACATAAGATACATTTTTGGTAACAGTTAAGCCACTTGAATGCATTTTTAAGGTTTTAAAGCTGGGGTCTAGTGTCACTTTAACATTTTCCTCAACTGCACAACCAAATCTATTATTAATAATATTCTGCCTTTATTAGTCCAGCATGTTTGGAACAGCAGGGAGATTGGAATGGAATATGGATGAAAGGTGATGAGGCACACAAAGCACAGACAGCTTGCATTCTGCAATCGCACTGGTTTGTAATACGTGACAAAACTGTTGCTAGGCAACATAACAAAGCAAGCTTACGTTTAAATTTTAAAGAATGATCATTGGAATGCAGAGGGGGTCAGGTCAGTTGATTGCCCTGGTTCTTCTTTGTCTTGGCGTGCATTTATTAAACTATTGTTAAATGTTGTAGTGAAAAGGAAGAAATCTCTGCTGGCAGTGAAAGGGATTGATTTCTATAGTGCTAGACTTTTTGGCTTGTAAGTCTCTTCCTCATGACACAGGCCCAGGCAGCAAATTACATATTTGAAAAACTGATTAGAACACTAATGAATTTCATATTTTTGATTTGGCAGTGATAACATTACTCTGTGGCTAAATCGTGTAGTTGTCTCAGTCCTAGCTGAGTTTTTATGCAATGACACAACCGCTTCTAAAGTTTAAATTTAGAAGTGTGAGCCAGTATTGTTAGTGTGACATCAGGGAAAGACCAGGCACTGTGGAAATGCTTGTGGACAGCTTATCCTGGTCCTTGCTTCAATAGACTCTCTGAATTCTACTTGCTTCCACAGTGCTGTTTTACAGACTTGTAGAGAACTTGGATATCACTGTAGACTAATTAATAACTAAATGTGCCGAGCTAAAACAATGATCAGATATAAAGAGTAAAAAAAATGAGTCAAACAAATGTCAGTGAAAAAAATCAATCAGGTGTAAAGTCTTTAAATCTTCATAAATCCGCGAAAGATGTCCAAATATAGCAATAGTGATTAATAATACTTGTTCCTTCACCAAATGCACCACACCAGATATAGGGGTGCTCACCTTATTGATAGACCCCAGCAAGAGGTCAAACCAGGCAATTCCCCCCTTAACCAGGGGAGGGGGCCCTCAGCTCCAATCGCTCACAGATGTCCTCCAATGGTTTAATCAGACCAGCAAACAGATCTGTGCAACACTTCTTAAATAGGAAAGCAATAGCCTCCAATCTTTATCGATCTATAGGCCTCCTCAGTATAAGGTGTCAATGCCAGGATCGTGTTGACCGAAAAAAGAAAGCAAACACCATAGCGCGTACCATCCAAACAGAGTATGATTTATTAAAAGAAAATTACTCACATAAAAGCAGTGGTAACATAGCATGGACTCTCTCTTAAAAGTATGTGCAAGAGTTTCAAATGACTGCGGCCGTCAGTCGTAGAGATCAATGTAACGTCAAATGCTCCGCCCTATGCGCATTACGTCCAGCGTGACTTCATCAGGGATCAGGAGCATCTGACGTTCTGGATCACATATATATAGTCACATCTATAATCAGAAAACACTCCCACTTACCACCATTCACTGAATAGACCAGACTGCTCTTCTCAAGAATGGAAGCAGTCAGTGTCTACCATATACACTCTAAAAACATAGCAATAAAAAATCTATCCCCTTAGGAGAAAGATATATTATAGAAAAAATATATAAAAATAAGGCATACATGTAAAGGTATACATATTATAACCCCTCTACAGAAAGCTAAACATAACAAAATATATGCCAACAGAATAAACGCACAACAGTGCATGTGCATGATCACTTTTTTTGTTTTGCATATATGACATGCACTGTTGTGTGTTTTATTCTGTTGGCATATATTTTGTTATGTTTAGCTTTCCCACGATTTTGTAGGACCCAGGCCTAGTAATAAGTCCATCAAAAAATGTAAAAATCAGCAATGCGAGCCATGAAAAAGTACACCCAAACCTATACATCACTGCACCTCTACATTACCACCGTAAATTCGAATCGCCTAAAAAAGGTGGAAACAGGTTATTTGTTTCCCTCCAAAGCTTTGTATTCCCTGGCCTCATTTTTCATTGCAATGAACATATGGAGATCAGATAATACTGAACATGGAAGATTAAAATGATGGTCTTGACTATATTTTAGAATAAGATTTAAATTTGAATTCTTTAAAAGGAGAATTCAATGCAACCATTTTGATGATGGTCTGTATTTGGCTGAAACAGGTAATCTTGCATTCTGATTTAAATATGCCAATAGAAGACAAAGTCTCTTTTAGTCTTCAATAGTTTCATTGATCCTATTTATACAAATGATGTGCAGTAACCCATACTAATCCGATTTCTGCGATTCAAAATAACTGCAGAACACTAAAAAGCTGAGGCCAGCTTTTGACGCCTTGGAGGGCTTTCATTTAGTGGTTTCATTTTCAATGGTGTTTTTAAAAGAGAGCTTACCATCGTTGGTCATCCAGATTTGTTTTTTAGTTTCCCTGAAGAAAACATTCAAAATGTCTGGTTCTTTTTATTTTTTTGCATTTGGCATGTTTTACAGGTTACAATTTAAGCTGGAAAATATTGCATGCAGTAATGTATTATGTAAGGGGTGAAGGGTTCATGTTGTATTCCCATACGCCACTCGATGATTTAAGTCATTTGTATATAATGATCTGATTCCTTGGTGAGGTCATCTGCAGTTGTTGGGATATTATGTTTCTCCCGTGTACAAAAACCATCTGAGTATTGCAGAGGGTAGTTTTCATGACTTTAGAAATGGCTACAAAGAACAGATTTTGTAAGCCTGATTTTTAAAGTGGACCTAAACGCCAGGTTGATGCAGGACTAAGCCTGCACCAGTTACTGCAAAAATTGTTTAAAAAAAAAGTATTTCATACCTTGAAGGTTTATTAAACCCTCCGGTATTTCTGCATATATGCAAAAAGTGTTAAGTGTTAAAAAAACCGCTTTAAAATCGGTTTAAACTTGCCTGTGTCTTCCCCGTGCGCTCCTGTCCGAAAATTTGAAAATTCTCGGGCGGCCGCAAAGCATCTTGGGACGGGCGCAGGCGCAGTTCACATTTTCCGCTAGGAGAGACACAAGGTAAGTATATGGACGCGTGCATCCGCATGCAGACACCGTGGGACAGGAAGTGCCAGCAAGGACAGGAGTCGGCCCTGGATCGGAGACCCGCAGCAGCGCTGGAGGGACAGATGTAAAGGACAGGAAAGATCGGATTAAGAAACCTCATTTAAAGTAAGTGTTTTAATTAACATTGGGGGGAGGGAAAAAATCTTTGACCTTCATGTCACTTTAACTTTGTACTTGTGCTACATTTTGATACGTCTTGTACTTTGACTCATTGTATCATTTAATGAAGATTATCATTTGTGGCAGTCATGAATTGGTCTTGTTGCATATTTACAGCAAGCCGCAAAATCCCTAGAGATGTGTAGTAACTCTAGGGTAGCCCTAAAGCCCGATATTCTCACTGAAAGGTTCCAAGTGTCCGATTATGGGGTCTAATTGGGTTAATTTTGCCTTCCCCTTCTATGCCAACTCTGCTCACTTGCCGTTTTTAGTAGGCAGCCAGAAAAGCAGACCCCAGTGTCGGCATATTGGTGTCTGATCTCTGGGAGGCCGGATGGGGTTTTGTAAGACTGGCTACGTAGTTACTGCATGGGCCCTCATACACAGTGATTGAACTGTCAATTTGGTGTTGGTGCAGAAAGTCGGATAGGGCATAGAACAAACTCAAATGAAACTTTAATACTCGCATAATCCTCCTTTTTGAGCTATTCATATCAAACAACCCTGCTTCAAAAGTTATTTCCAACTGTGAGTGTATGCTGGGACCACTGGTTCCTTAACAGCTGGAGGGTTCCTTGTTGTGTCTAATCAGGTAAAGCAATGTTAGACATGCACACAGTTTTATAACACTTGTGTGTTGGGTGATGCTGCTTGTGCAATGGAGCACACATGCTGTCTGCTGCTGTAAATTCCTGAGTCCTGTACCGCAGATGAATATTGCTAAGTTTAGAATCATTTCCGTTGGGTGTCCAGAAATGAATGATGGTATAGAGGTTCTGAACCATATATGGATTTCAGGACTAGATGACCTATAGGGGAGGCTGAACATTAGATATCCTTTCATAACGTGTGAAACGTATCAGAGGATTAAAAGAACTCAGTTGAATGTTTGTGTGTTTTTAAATATAGAACAGTGCCATTGTAAATTTATAGTATAGGTGTGATGAGCCAGCAGGGTTTCCAGTATTAAACCAAATTGTCTCGACAGTTATTGCCATGTAGACCACCTTCACCTGACGTAGTTATGTGTAACACAGCTTTTCTAGAAGGGTAAACAAAGCAGATAGACTGACAGATTTTGCATACGGGTTTCTCCATAAAAACGCAAGTGGACAGTGTGAATGAAGCATTAAAGCAGGCACTGGTGTACAGCTGCCACCTGTAATTGATTTCTATGAGGTCTTAAAGATGTATACGCAGGTTTCTGTAATGGTTTAGTAAACCAAATATTTTCTGTTTGCAGGTGCTTATGTGTCCTGAACACGAGTCAGAAAAGGTGAACATGTACTGTGAGATCTGCAGGAGGCCTGTGTGTCACTTGTGTAAACTTGCAGGTGCACATGCTAACCACAGAGTGACCACGATGAGTAATGCATACAAAACACTAAAGGTAAGCTTGTCTGGCTCTTGCAATAGATAAGAGGTTGTGATCATTGTAATATGACGTACTGTAAATACAACCATTCCGAGGCTGAATTGTTATGAAAACCTTTTCTTTTCCTACTTCTGAATTGCTAGTAAGAATGTAGTAAGTACAAAGCAAAAGCTAGTTGTAGTTGTCCCTCCTGCTTTTTTTTTTATTTTTAAACAAGAGCTCTAGTTAACCCTTGCAGGGGGGCTACTCCCTCACTGGAGTTCCTCTTTAAGTTGTTTATATGCTGGGGGGATGTATTAACCATACCTTGAATAACAATGTAGTAAGTTTGACTTCCCCCTTCATTACCATATTCCCCAGAGGCTATGTAGCGGATTATATACAGGGATGCTCGAATCGTATTGCCCGACGCCTGGGACATGCAGTTCCCGGTGCCGGTCAGGTGTTTCTCTGCAGCAAGGTGGGGACCTGGACAGGATGGCCCAGTTCCTGTGGTCAGGAGAACCCTGGGGGCTGTGGGCAAGTACTGGCTGGTGAGGAAGTTCCCCTTACCTCCCACTGACGATGGGGACCCGCACCTTCCTCCTAGTCTCTGCCTCTGGTCTTTGCGGCTTCGATAAGTCCCGGTGTGACGACGAGTTTAATGGGCAGGGACTGCTGACACTTGTAGTGTCCTGAACCACAGGACACCAGGACTGACATGATTTTATGACTGTCCTGGTGACCTCTGTGAGGGCACTACAAGTTTCAGCAGTCACTCTGCTTCAATTAGCCGCTGCCAAAACAGGTGAGCAGATGGGGTTTTCTAGCTTGATTCCATTCAAGTATTTTTAGGTCTATCAATGAAGACATTATTTAAATACCGCTTTTTGGTTTTTAAATTATTGTTTGTATCAGGACAAGTAGATTGTCATAAGGGACAATCTACTTTAAATGTAATGTTAAGGAAACTCCGTTGCTACTTTTTAAGAAAAGTGGAAAAAAAAAGTCCAGCCTGCTTTTAAAGCAGAACTCCAGGGATATTTGTATTAACCCTTGCCGTTGGGCTTCTGTGTCTAGGTTAAAGAAAACAAAGAATTACTCACTCAAAGCTCCCTGCTGGCTTCTTAGACCGGTCCCTGAAGGTCTCTCCCCCTCTGCAGTGGTATAAGGTCCAGTAAATCACATCTATACACTGTGCATAGACACGAGGACACTGAGGAAAATTCCAATGCTGCTGTGGATGGGACAGGCTGGAGGGAGTGCCTTGACAGCTGACCAGCACTGCAAGGGTTAATGGAAAAAAGTTCCTGGAGTTCTGCTTTAATACTTGGGTCACCCATTGCCTGCTCCGACGAACTTTTAGAGCTAAACGTGTTGATAAATCTTCTGCATCCTACACGTTTGGGTGCAGGTATTAAACGCTCCCAGTCAGAGCTCTGTGCTTTCACTCATTGGCTTCTACACAACTACAGGACACCGTTAAGTAGAACAGCGGCACACTATTTTATATACATAGTGACCGTAGTTTTAAGAAGTGTAAATGTCAGTGTGATATGACTGATTCTGGTTTGTGCAAGAGAAGTAGGTCAGGTTTACTCCAAAAGATGCAAAGAGCAGCAATGATGGTGACCAGTATGTTAGGCTCATGCTGGTCTGACTTCAGTTAAAGTAAACCTTTCATGAGAGGAAGGTGAATGCCATTGCTGACCTTTTTAGAAAATACTTGTTGCCTGGCTCCTCACTGGCTTCAGTATTGTCTTGAGTAATTGGAGTAAGTGACCCAGAACAAGTATGCAGATCAAGAGTTGAAGTAATGTCGGAAGATCTAATCTGTTACTAGTTCCAGATCAGTGACTCAGATTGTTGAAGGAAGCCGACCATCATGACTACAAGGAAGCTTCCATTTTTAAAATGAGGAGTTGGACTTCCATGTTTCTGTCATTACTAACTTTAATTTTAATAGGCTTCTTTGCAAGATTGTACTTTACCCCTTGTGCTGCTTACTGAAAGAGTATATACAAGTTTGTAGACTGGCATTTGTTTGAAGTCCGTTTTGGTATGCTTAATTAAGTTGCATTGGCTTGCAGTTGACCTCCTTACTTGCATTTGACTTACTTCAAGCAGGTATCTTATTCTCATATACTTGTGTGGGAATGTAAAACCTGCCTAAGGCAAATAAAAGCCTGTCAACATATGCTCTCAAGTTTACCATACACTTTAGTGATGGTCAAAAGGTGCAACCAATATGAAAGCTAATGCACAACAGAGTTATCTGCATTGTTGTTTTTTTTTAATTTTCTTTTGCAGCTATAGAAAAAAGTAGGATGTGGTTTTGTGCTGTGGCTAACATCACTTTATAGCTCTAAAAAAACAAAAAAACACAGCAACATTGTATTGACTAGGGATCATAGCAACCATATGTTTCACATTTTGTATACAAAAACATTCAGCCCAGCCTTAAAAGAGCACAAAAGCCAAACCTTTTTTTGGCTTTACTTCTCTTTTGGGCTCACCACAGTAAGTTCACTGATTTATTCCTGTAACCCAAAGTCAGCTACTGCCCGCTATATGCTAACAGCGCTACAGCCGGGAAGGATCCGAACAATATTGTTGGGATCCACTCAGCTGCCTGATTTGACAGCTGCCTCTTCCTCTCTAGAGACAGCTGTGCTTGTCCCCTGCCCTGCTTGTCCCCTGCCCTGCTTGTCCCCTGCCTGTCCGTCCAGCGAATGCCCTGCCTGTCCGTCCAGCGAATGCCCTGCCTGTCCGTCCAGCGAATGCCCTGCCTGTCCGTCCAGCGAATGCCCTGCCTGTCCATCCAGCGAATGCCCCGCCTGTCCGTCCAGCGAATGCCCTGCCTGTCCGTCCAGCGAGTGCTGGAGGAACCGGAAAGAGGTGGTAGAATCTCTATGGGGAGTGGTGACTGACGGTCACTGCCCTGCAGGGAGGAGACGCTGAGTTGAGCGATTAGCGGTCACATCAGTGTCCCACGCGTGGCTCGACGTTTTGGAAAGAGTGTATTTTACTCTCCCAATACTTCTTTAAACTTCATAGACTTCCATATTTCAACTGTTCTAGTAAAAATCTAAGGCAGGTGGCTGACGTAGTATCTGAGCTATTTTTGGCTGACCATAAAATGCCATTGGATTGTCAGGCACAAAAGTGGTGGATGAAATAGATTTTCTATCTTGTCCAGCTACACACCCCTTTCCCCCCCAGATAGTGGCCAATTGGTGTCTGTAGCATCAATTAGGATAATATGGTTATCAAAACTGTTTTCAAATGTCTACTGCAACCGTTTAGGCTTTGGCCTAAATTAATAAGTGAAAATTATCAAAGGAAAATTCTGTAACAAGATAAAATACTTTATTGTTTTTGACTTTTTTGTTTGTCTTATAAAAAGTTCAAAACCATGTGTTAAGAGGATCAGAGTGCATTTATTGTCTTGTCGGTACCTTGTCCTTGGCTGTTTAAAGCCTTCTATTTTCATCTATCTTTCTGCATAGGAAAAACTTACAAAAGGTATCGGCTATCTTATCAGCAAAGAAAGCCAAGTTCAGACCCAGATTTGTGAACTGCAAATCTTGATAACACGCACTGAGGTAAGTGGAGAGCATGGAAATATTGATCATACTTTAAAGAGGTGCGAGTATTCTTGCTCACTGTGTTGATCTATTTTCTCTAGTTTCTCGAAGGATTGCTGTGAGATATCATGCTTTCTTGATGACTTCTGTCTTGCTGCCATATTTCCTTTCCTCTAAAATACCCACTAGCATCCTTGTTAATATTAAAGGAGAACTATGGGGTTAGGGCTTTTCCCCATAGTTCTCCGAAGGGTAACGGGAGGACACAAACTAGTGTCCTCCCGTCACCCTAAGCTCAGTTTACCGTGAGCTACGGCTCGCGGTATACTGAGACGCTGAAGCAGATCCCGACAATTATGTCTGGATCCGCCCAGCTGCGTGTACACGCCCCCTCCCCCGCCAGTCAGTGCTGGAGGATCGGGGAGGGGTGAATCCAGCCCCTCCCCTGTCATGGCAGAGAGCCGTGACAGGATCGAGAAGTGAGCAAACGTCGGTATGTGTTCGCTCACTTCCCGATCTACTGAGCCGACCTGTGACAGTCTCATTGTCACAGGTCGGCTAGAACTATGAGGTGAGTGAAAAGCACTCACCTCATAGTTCTCCTTTTAATGCCCTAGCTACCTCAATGCCACACCCTACTCCTTCGGCCGAACACAATGGACACACTTCTACTCACGCTGACAGCAACACCCTTGACCTTGTATTCTCCCACCTCTGCAACCTTTTTTCTGATCACAACCTTAAGGTGCCCATACACTGCACGATTCTCGTACGAGAATCGCGGGAAATCCCGCGATCGTACGAGAATCGTGCAGTGTATGGAAGGCGTGCGACCGTTTCTACTGTACGGTCGCACGTCTTCCGTCGAACCAGTAGGCTAGAAAACCCGCCGGAAATCGTACGATTCTCGGCGAGTGAGTGGCCTGCTAGTTCGACAACTGACTAAGGGGCTGGTGTGCGCACGCGCACACTTCCCGTTTGCCGTCCTCGCAAGCCCGCCCCTGTCCAAGATGGGCAGATCGACTAAGGTCTTGCGATGGTTGTACAGTGTATGGCCACCTTTAGTTTCATTCTCTACCTCTTTAACCTCCCATCCCTCCAACCAACATTTGCCCATATAAACTTTCGCCATTTTAACCTTTCTCTGCAACAGAATCTGAGCCCTATCCTGCCCTGGCCTTGCCACTTCTGTCTACAACAGTTCACTCCTTGTCCTCTCTGGACACACATACCTCCCTTACCACACATAGAATTAGGCCCTGACTGCTACAACCTTGGCAAACAAATGACACCAGAAGTGTGAAAATACATTTTTGCTTTTGTGTGGCCTGAATCTAAATCCCTACAAGATTTCACCCTATATAAATCTGCCCTCCAGAAATACAGTTCATTGCTCCGTTCTGCCAAACAGAACTATTTTTTCACTCGCACTTTTATCTACCTTATCGCTCTTTGTCCCCACTGCCTCCATCCTCTAACACATTCACTGTCCTGGAGATTGCCAATCATTTCAAGAGTGATGCAATTTGTGATGAAATCCTCACTGTCCAGATATCTTCCCCCACCAACATACCATGTCTACCACTACATTTAATACTTTCCGCAACACATGTCAAGAACTGCTCTCTTAAAAGCTTTTCTGTAGCAGTCCCCCCAAGGCTCAGTCCTCAGGCCCCTTTTCTCAATCTACACCACCTCCCCAGGTCATTTAAAAATCCCACAGCTTCCAATGGCATCTGTGTTGACTGATCCCAAATCTATCCCTCTGCTCCCCAGCTCACCTCTTCTGTCTCCTCATGCATCACTAATTTATTCACTAACATGTTTACATAGATTTCACACAGCTTCCTCAAACTCGGTCTGTCCAAATGGAGCTGGTATTTTCTCCCCCAACTTCTTCAAAGTGATCAACAGCACAACAATCAATCCCTCCACTCAGGCCAGGTGCTAGGTGTAAACCTGGAATCTGACCTCTCCATTTGGCCCCACATCTAATCACTGTTGATATCTTGCCTCCCTTACCGCCACATAATTTCCAAAATCACCCTTTAACAAATGACACCACAAAGCTACTAATTCTCTACCTTTTTTTTTATTTTTCTTGCCTTGTCTATTGCAACGTCCTCATTGGCCTACCCTAAAGCTGGCCATAAACCTGTCAATTTCTTTCAACTCGCAGGCTGAACGGAAGAAATTGACGCAATTCCTCCAACACAGCGCGTCGATCGAGGAATCGCTGCTGTTTGCATTGTATTCTGACAGGTGCATCCGGCACCTGTCAGAATAACAGATGAGGGGGCAGCTCATGGGCTGCCGCCTCTGATCGTACACATATTGCAGATTTTCCAGCCGGCTCTTTAGATCAGCTGTTCGATGGAATGCCGGGTAAAAGGGAGCAGACTGGCCAAATTTCGGCCGGTACATTAAAAACTGGCCACAGGATATGCCTCCAATATATCATGAATGCTGGTGCCAGAGTTGTTCAACTTGCCATCCCTCCCATCCAATCACTCCACTGCCTTCCACTTGCCCAATTAAATATTCAAAATACTAACATACAAAGCCATCCATATCTCGGCCCAAGCTGCGTCACCAACATATTGCAAGCAGGGCCCTCCTAACCTTCTGTATTGAATTCTTAGCTGTACGGTCTCCCCCCC